CCCACAACACGGCTACGACTACCACGACTACTACTACTACTACTGCTACTACTACTACTGCTGCCGCTGCTGCTACTACTACTGCTACTACCTACTACCTCCTACCTGTTACCTACTACCTACTACCTAGTACCTACTACTTACTACTACTACTACTACTGCTACTACTACTACCACTACTACTACGACGACGACGACAACGACGACGACGGTCACTACTACTGTTGCCACTGCACACATTACTGTTCTTTCTTTGTTGATTCTTGTTTGTTTTGTTTTTGATCCTCGTCTGTCAATTGTTTTTGTTATTATGTCACCAGATTTTGTTTTTTGTTGATCCTTATTAATTTTTCTTTTGATCTCATTGCTTTATTATTATTTTGATCCTTATTTATTTTTATTTTGATCCTTCACCCTGTTCTTGGCAGGAAAATCAACCGGAAAACCTCTATAGGGGTCAGGAAAATTTTCCACTCAGTGACTCTTTCTGTGGATTTTTCTTGTCAAACAACTCGCTCCAGGTGTCTTCACGGCTGGCTGCGCATCTTCCTGCTACTGCTGCTGGGTTCAACCGCCTGCGCCTGGCGCGTGTGGTACACGTCTGGGACGCAGATCGCGCGGATGGACCCCTACAGCAACCCCATCGCCGTGGTGGAGGAGGGAGTGCAGGGCAGGGGGAAAACCTGGAGCTATGGTGGGATCAAGGACTAGATGTCTTTCAGATCATCTACAGTGGGCAGATCGCACAAACCCCACGATCAGTATTTTTGAGTGGGGGTCCAGGTAAACCACCTTTTGGTGATTGTGTCGCCTGAAGTCAATCTTATCTCAACTGAATCTCATGGTGACGTGGACCGTGCCAGGTTCACGCAAGCAAATCATGGCTCGAAAGCTGCCGCCTGTAGTACATATTTTGGCCAGTGCTTTACTTGGATGGCACTTGACCTTTTTGGTGCTGCACGCCCCCCCAGTTCCAGCACATTCTGAATGATTCCAGCCGGACCAGCAAGGCCTATGAAGGCCATGCTGGCCATGAACTGTCCTTGCTGTCTGGGAGGCGACGCGGGATGATCCTGAAAGAACTTTGCAAAACGGAGCTGATCCGGCTGCATCCGCACAGCAAAATTGAAGAGCCCACTCGCGGGACTCGTTGCAATGGAGCTCGCAGGTCGGCTTCACAAGCTGAGTATGACTTTAGTATGGATGGCCGCAAAGTTCGGTGTAAGAGTACGCAGATGTCTTGGGATAGGACCAACAGGGTTTGGCATGCTCGCACTGAGGGTGTCAAGTTGCCATGGCCAGGATTTCGGGACCAGGCTCCCTTTGATGATTTGTATCTCATAATGTTCAGCCCGGACAGCTTGCATATCATCAAGCATGACCTTCAGACCGGAGTTGCCTCAGATGGCAACGTGACTGGAAGTCGTGGTCATAAGATTGTCATCAGAGGTGCTTCAGGGCAAGAATGTTGGCAAACCGCGCGGTCTCAAATTCTCTACAAGTTTCTGGCTGCAGGACAGTGCAAACTTGTGGACCGCATTGATTTATCGGATGTGAAAGTCAGCAGCTGGCTGGGAAAACAAATGGAACAAATGACCATGCGTCAGGACTGCGCATACAAAGGGGTGCCATTGAACCGTATGGCACCACAGCGTGGCTTGCGAATTGAAGAACTTGCATTGGAGGTGGATCGAATTCTCCATCCAGATTGCTCCTTTTCACGAGTTTCTTCGAATATAGATTGGGTTCGTGGAGAGGTCAAAGTGGAAGTCAAGCACGGGCAGATGTTGTTCCAAAGAGGAAACAAGAAATGGCAATGTCGTTTTTCCAACATCAAGTGTGCAGGTGCGGGTGCTCGTGATGAAGACCTTTTTGATGAACTGTGGCTTGCAATCTACAGCCCCTTTGGCATTCATTTTCTACAGCATCCTGGTGGCAAGGCCTGTTTTTGGCTCAATGGGTTGAAAGAACAGGATGTTGGGCGGTTCAGAGATGTGCGTGCCAGCCACAATGTGCTTGATATTAGGGAGGCCCTCGACGAAATGCTCAAAACGATGGTGGATGAATGGGGCTGTCAGCCTCTCGCAAGAATTGTTTGGTGATCCCATTTCCTCATTTTACATGGCTGTGATTCTGCAGCGAAGCCTAACTCTATTGTATTATATTCCTTAGAACTTGATGTGACTCCAGTGATGGCAGCTGACCGAAGTGCATGCGTGCTTAGTGCATGGTGTCCTGTCCAATCAGAACCTCGAGGCAAATCACCTCAAAATGCTTTGTGCCAGAAGGCTGCTCCATATTCGGGGGCACATGCCGTTTTATTCATCGGAACTGCGCAGGGATGTCACAGGAAGACAGTGCGCGAGCTTTTATCCCAGCAGTCGCGGAATCCAGGCAGAATTCATGTCGACACTGGAATGACCATCCAAGAGTGGAGCAGTTTCGCTTCTGGAGTCCTCAGAGTCTTCAGCCGCTCATGTCGACCTTCAGCTGAGTTTTGGGCAAGTCGACTCAGGGGAGTCAAAGGATTCCTGGGACAAAGTGCATGGAATCAAAAGCTTTCTGAAGAGAAATTACTGTAGCAGGTCCATACCAATAGCAATGGACAAAAAGAGTTGAATCTTGGGCATGGGTTGGGCTTTGTTGCTGTTGGAATGTTATTTGAAGAACAAGGTCGTTCTTTCCTGTGTGGCCCAAGATTTTGGTGTTCCTCCCGTGCTCTCATACATCTTTGGATGACTGGTGGCATCGTCGGCTTTTCCGCTTGAATCGTCAGCAACCGAGCCTGCCCTGCCGCATGCATGAAATACATTCTCGAGACTGAGCTATGTAAGTGCTATGGTGATTTTAGAGCATACTGCAAACTCATGTACAACAACAGGTCAAGTGAGGTTTCTGAACAAATGGGACCCCTCTTCATTGCAAGAGTTGCAAATGATTTCAGCACTACTTGCAAGGAACCCTGAAACCGAGCCTGCAGGACCCCTACATCAGAGGCTTGTCCTACGCCTTGGTGCATGGAATGTCGCCCGGCAACAGGGTGCAGGAAGACGTGTCACCTGAGTCTCGTCAATGTGTAACAACGTGTCAACGAGCTGTTTTTTACAGCCAGCCCTGCAAGCGACTTGAGACGTGCCAAGAGTTGTGAGAGTGGGTCCCGGTGTCCGTCATCCTCCACTGGTCCTATGGCTATGGTGACTAAACATATCTAAAAATTAATGTGTCAGCCAAACAAAAAACACGAGGCCTCGCTCCTGCTATGCTTAACACCTCCCAGGTACATCAAGCCAAGTGGTTACCCAGCTACATGGCCAAGTTTTCCAGGGAACAGATTCCGGGCATCACCCACCGGACTGCTCATGACCCCAGGTACATCAAGCTCCTGCTTTGGCCGGTCTTCTTGTGCTACGACTACTCCATGGATGCTGTGCCACTGGTGGAATCTTTGCAGGACGCGAGACTGCTGCTGCCCTGCGCAGCATACCTGGGCTTCGTGTTGTGCGGATGTGGCCTGGCAAGACTTGGGTGGGGAGCAGGGTGAATACCGAGCATCGAGGTGAGGAGAAATGGATTCGAAAGGAGCCTCCATACGTTTTGAAGGGACTAGTGTAAACGTAGGATTATGGGACCTCCCCAATTAGTTTGGTTTGCCTTGGGTCCTCTTTACTCATAGAATATTCGACCACGTTCTAGCCCATTGTTGACAATTTGGACACAACTCCCCCCAATAATAAGTTTGGGGTCAGATTTTGGCCAATACTATATACATCCTTTCTTCCCATTCTGTGGGATCTCTCCTCATGAAAAGATTTAGTCTTGGTGACCTCTCCTGATTGACCCCCCAAAATGTTGAAAAAAACGACCTTCTGATGCCCCCCAGTTTATTGATCACAGTCGTTTGTTGTTTTGCCCTTGTTGTTTTCAGAAATCGTTGAAGCACACCAGAAGCAGAGCTTGAGTCACTTGGAGTCGACCGAAGCTCAGCCCGGAGCCCGGGCATTTCCGGCGACGGATCGGACGGAAGCCGCTGATGCACGATGCACGTCCCGGAGCCTTGGAGAACTGGTGGGGCACTTGGGCAGTTGCTGGAGTGCGTCTGAGACGAGTGCAGCGAAGCCGAAAGAAAGAAGGGTGGCTGGAACCGGAGCCGGGGGGGGGCGGTTGGTGGGATATGGACTCTCACCAGCTTCATGAGTTTCTGTCCCTCACTGCACCGATGTGCACATTGAGCGATTCAGGCCGAACGGACGATTTGGCTGGGAGGAGTTGGAATGCAGATCCTTGCTGACCCTGCCATGAATGCTGGGAATGCCCGGCAGGTGTGCTTCCCCTTGGCAGGGTGATGGCAGCTGTGTTAAACGATTTATCTCTGGCTGGAGCCAAGTACTCGGCTCTTGCATTTGACATGCTTCTCAAGTCTGCAAGCCAAGACGCCGGATACCACACGCACCACTCTGTTGGCGAGGTTGCAACAGGTCACGGTGCTGTTGGCGCAACGCACCGATGGCACCGCATGGAGGCGCCAACTGCATGCCTCCGCATGTCCGCTGGCGCAAGCGCAGCGGTATCAAGATGAACCCCATCGGCGACTCTCGGGTTATGGCTCTTGTGAACGGCGTGCCGAACAGTCCCAAGCCAGAAACTAGCCCGCTGTTGATGAGAATGAGGATGCCCAGCTTCAACCCACTTCCATCAAAGTTCAGGTTGTTCCTTTGTTGGAGTTACTGTAGTGATGGTTGCGGTTGTTCGCCATTTTGATTTGTTGATGTTGCGGTTGTTGCTGTGTTTTGCTCTCTCCTCCAATTCTTGGAGTCAGAGCAGTTGCCTGAGAGGAATGACGAATGTTATGGAGGCTAGGACCAAAAGACACATCATTGACTGTGCATCGAGTGTTAACACGTTTATTGCTCATCAATTCATTCTGCCCAGCAAATGTGGTGCTCACTTGGGCCTTTTGACGCTCACTGCTCGCACCCGAAGCGCTGGAGGGTTGGTGTTTTGCATAGCTATTCATTATCTTATATCGAATCGCCAATCTCCTGCCTTCAAAAACCTCAAGCTAGGTGCAGGCTTTGCTTTCATTGCACTTTGCTTTCAGGGATTCCCACGGATCACCTATTCGCTAGGTTCAACCGTCGCGAAACAGCCATCTACACTTTTCGCAGTTTAGGACGTTGGGAAATGACTAGCAAGAGTACTAGCAAGTATAGATTCTAGGCTGCTGGTAACTATAGTCCAAAAGGTGATCTATACTCTTTAAAACATGTTTGTTTGCCAACCTGGCTGGCCTCTCAAGGGACACGTGGGTGCACTGAGCCCGCCTCCTCCAAGGTCACACGCTGCAACGCCTGACCGTGCGCGGCGCGCACAGCGCGAAGGGCGCCGTGCTGGGCCTGGCGATCTTCGTCTTGAGCTTCCCGGCGACCGGCGCACGCGATGCTGTCTATGGGTGGGACAGAAGAATGGATGAGCTAAGAAATGTTCATTGGTTTTCTAGCTAGGCACCGTCCCTTGCAATAGATTATTTTGAATGGTTTTGAGACTTGACAGGTGAATGATGGCTAGTCCTCTCTAGGAATCTAGGATGTAAGAGGACATTTGGCAAAATCCTCTTGAAGCGCCGTGGGTCGCACCGTCCAAGGCTTTTTGCCCATGACGAACCTGCTCTTCCCCATCGGCCGGGGACGTGGAACGGGGTGGTTCGGGGGGGTGGAGCTTGTTTTGACGCTGACATCTATAGAATATAAATAGCAGCCTGGCTTTTGCTTGATTCCAGGTCGAGGGAGTGTCAGAACCGAAGGAAATTCACTGAGAATGTTGATAATCAGGTTCCTGATATTTCCTGATCAGGATTGTGTCACACCCTGAAAAATGGACTTGTGGAAATGGGTGAAGCCCGAGAACTATGAACACTTGAAAAAGGGGAACCGTCTCACAGAGCATCCAAACCAGCATCTCAAAGCCATGGGAAGTGGACACCTTGAAACCCATAAAGTAACAAATGATGTTGAACAGTGTCCCTATGAGGAACTGGATGAGCATGATCAGCATGAACCCTTGTTCGTCCCCCAGCACTTGTTTTCTCATGTGGCCTTGGGATGTCCCTTGGGATGTCCCTTTCGAACCACTCACCAAGGATATGACATTCTAAAGGTGCCGTTGGTACTGGGTTACCTTGTGGAGGTTCTGCTGGGAAGAATCTCTAGTACCATCTAGTCACTCTACTAGGAAGATTTCTACTGGATTCTGATTCTACTGGGAAGAATTCTTCTTCTGGGTAACCTTGTTGGAAAGATTGTTCAGACCTCCTCCAAGTGCCTATGTCGCTTGGGTCAGATTCACGGTCGCCGTTGGTTAGGATCGCCAAGAGGCTATTTAAACAATTTGGCCATTCACTGAAGCTAGGCAAGGTCCGTCTTCCAGCGATGTCCATTCAGGTATTGATTGCCTCCTTAGCAATCAAACGGGCAACGGGCATGTGTTGCAGGAGGTCTTCGATCCACCTTACCACCCCAAAGCTTCGAAGGGCTTAGGCTGCCAGGCTCCGACCCACTCGACACGGCACAAGGCACCTTAGTGGCTGAGCGGCTGCTGTATTTGCCCTCCATCGGTTTTCTGGCCATTTGGCACCTGCGCGGCGCGGTGCGCCAAGTTCGGAAGAAAGCATGAAGCTGTAGACCTATCCGGGCAACATGGTATTACCTGCAAATCGTGGATTCCAGCAGATCGGATCATATCGGCGATCCAACCTGAAAGTGAGTAGGTGCAAGAAATGGACCTTAATCACCTCATAAAAGGTGAGGGTAACCCTCAGGCTTCTCAAAGGGCGACACGGAATCCTCCAAACGGCGACACGGCTATATTCCTTTCCTCAGCGCCAACTGCAAGTGGTGATGACATGCGATGGCTCGAACTGACGTCTTGGAGTTTCATTTTGAAGCATAAGATTAGATCGAAGAGGATAGACGTGGGGCGTAGAAGCACACGTGGATCGCAAGGAGTTCTTTTTGTTTGGCTCCCCTAGGAATCCGGACGGGCGCTCCACGGCAGGGGTCCATTGGTTCGGGTCCGGATTCTTAGGGGTGTTGGAGCCACGAGGTGCGCTTGAGGTATGATTCCCCACGAACTGGGCAACCGACCTGGGGGGGTTGGGAAGAGCCAGGGCAGCTCGCATACGTAGTAGTTCATCAACGGCAAACGGCAAGCATCCAGCCTCACTGCCGAATGGGGAAATATAGCTGGGCTCTTGAGATAAGAATCGAACCATGACACCCTTGGGCCAAGTGCACCACCCCCTGAATGACAGATGATGCCAATTCCATGGGATTATGTGTTTAAGGATCCGTCGACCTAAAGCCACATGTGTGGAAATGTGTGGAATGAGCAGCGAGCACCCCAAACGCCTCAGATCACTTGCATCTCCCCATGGTCTTGTTTTACCTCAAAATGACTGTAATGACTGTGGGTCATGGTGCCAGAAGAAGCGGACCAGTTCACTTCGCTGGCGTTCGGTGGTCTAAGACCACAGCCGGTGGAGGGGTCGGGCGAACTGCACCCACACCACCCACACCAGCCTCCTCAGGTCGTCCTTGTGTGCTTCGCCTACGACTGGGCTCGAGGTCCTGTCCGCTGGTTGGCTTTCCTGTTGGCCGGCATGCTGCTCGCGTGGTGGTGGTGGCTATGCCACGCACGGGTCGGGGATTGGATGCTTGGCAGCACCAACCTCCTCGGCCAAGCAGTGCAGTTGAAAGGCCCCATTCGAGGGAAGCGATTTGAATGAGAACGGCCCACTTCAACTCCTGTGATCTAACCGAATTAGAGGCATGGCTTTGCTGCGAATTCTCGAAATGTTGCTTCATGATGCTCATGTGATGCACGACCCTGTGAAACCGGAGGACCTGGTGATTTGACGATGTCCCATCTTCCGGACTGGGTGAAGCCACCGTGTGCGTGAGGGTGAAGCACGGAGAGCATGGTCAGTCGGGCCGGAAACCATCTCATAGGGCGACGGTCGGTCCCATCGCCGAAGGGTGGAGCCAAACTGCAGTTGCTGAGAGGCAACTGACAGACACCGCGATGACAGCCCGCCCGCGATGACCAACGCATCCGCACCCGCAGGGTCGGACGGGAGACATCAGACTTCCTGTAATCGATGTCGATGTCACTCACATGTCGACCCTGACGGTCCATCCTGGTCCCATGGTGTCGACGATGTTCCTCTATCAACGGTCAGGGGTGTACTCAGGTTCCATGGGATCGTCGTTCTTCCAGGGTGTCATCGAAAAACGAGAGACGTCCAACGACCCTTCTGGGCGTCGAATCAACCGCCCAGGAGGACTGTGGAGCAGATCACTCTGGTGGACGGCTTGAAGCAACTGAGGTCCTCCAGGACCCGGGAATTCGGGAACGGGCGCGGTGGACGGGAAGCCAAACTAATGGGGACTGGGACTTAGTTGCGCTTCTTCACGGGTGAGAGGTGAGGTGGAAATGAGAGGTAAGAGGTGAGAGGTGAGGTTCTTCTGGGTGAGAAAGAGGCTCGAAGTTCTGAAGTGTGTTGAGAGCGTGGGGCTCTTTCTCTTAAGTGTTGGAATGGTCCAACAAATGTTTAGATCAGAAAATGGATCACCACTCCTAACTAAATGGTTAATGGGAGGGGTACGTGGTGGCTGGCCACTTTCTCCTAGCCATTTAATTTTGTAGGGTTTGTATTTATATATGTTTTGTGCATACAGATCATAGAAAAGGAAAAAGGAACATGAAAAGGAAGAGAAAAGGAAAAGGACACGGAAAAAGAAAAAACACGAAAAGGAGAAGGAGAAGGAAAAGACAACCTGACTCGTGGTTACTGTTCAATGGGGCAGCAAGCCTCAACACCTGCCCCCTGACTATTTTAAAGCTCAAAGTCCACTGGATAGAATGTCATCCAAAGGGACACCGTATTCACTGGTGATCTCACGGACCTGTGCACATTTTTACGATGTGTCGCTATATAAAAACGCTTCAAAAAAACATAACAGCAACCACAGCAACATAAAGTAGCAAATGCCTAAACAAACTAGGACATAGCATGATCTTTTGTTACATATTGTGGTTTCTTCTACATTTCATACAATTCTCGATCATGCTTCTAAACGTTTCAGTGTTCTAGAAACATCTTGCAGCAACGTGGAGCAACGTAGAACACCAATGCGCAGGGTTAAGAAACAATTGAACAACAACCAAGCAGAAAGGAATATGAGCCCCAATACCGCTTGATCACCGCGCAAATATTGTGATATTGATATAGACAGACTACGTTATACTATGTCTCTTGGCAAAAACCAAGGAGACCAATGCAATTCAATGCCCCCAAAACATCAAACAACTTAAAGATCAAAACCTGATCAAGATAAATCACTGCGATACTACAAGCTTAAAGTCACCAGTGAAGACACATGAAAATGCATGAACACAAGGGTCACAGAAAGGGCGGACACATCTTAAGAAAGAATTGAGAACCCCTGACGGTAAACCTGGGAGACAAATTACATGGGAGACAAATGAATAGACATGCTGCATGGCCAGCGGAGAAGGGCAGACACCAGCAGTGACAGAAAGGGTGGTTACATCTTAAGAAAGAATTCAGAACCCCTAACAGCAAACTGTTTGGGGAAAAAAAGCCCCAGTCTCTTTTGCAAAACACAAGGCCCTTCAACCTTCAACACCTAGTTTGTGAATATTTACCACAAACTTGCAAAAAGTAGGTGTTATCCATCGAAGCTCGTGTTGTTGTGGCTGGAACTTTACTTCAGCAAATGGAGCATGTCTTTCATGGTCTCTCGAGCTGGCCAATCCAACGACTTCACAAGGTCAAGAAGAAGCCCTAGCTGCCCTAGAAGCATGGGTGAGAAACGGACGAATATTCAACCCTTGTCTTGAATGAAATGCAATTGCTGTTTTAATCTCTTTTGCTTTAATGTTTTCAGCACTGTGGACATGATATGACATAATATCACCACCCTAGCCAATTCTACCCGGAGGGTGCTACCGATTCATGCCAATTCCCTGTGGAAAGTATGGGTTCTGCATTGGTGTTCTACGTTGCTCCGTGTTGTTGCAAGATGTTTGTAGAAATTTGTACAACATTGAAGCACTTAGAAGCATGATCGAGAATGGTATGAAAAGTAATAAAAACAAGAAAGTGCAACACTTACGTAACAGAAAATAACGCTTGGTTGATCAATGTAGGCTTACTTAGATCAAGTGCTTGGGTAGACATGTCTCAGTACATGTTGACATAAAGGGGGATCAAAGCCAAAAGGATGAAACACGCTTTGAAATATTCCAATGATTCAGAGTAGTCCTTCGATGTTCTTCTATATTCTCACCTGCGCTTGTTTGAGCTTCTTGGTGTTCTCAGTGTTCTCATGTGTTTTGAATCTTTTTCTCTAGAGGCAGGACGACGATTGGTCATGTGGACACTGGTGTGTGCTAGCTCTGGATTCGGCTTTGGCAATGCAGAGTGGTTGGCGCCGGTGTTTCCAGCCCAGCGCTTCAGTGAAGAAGCCCTCAAGATTATTAACACGTCATGTCACCAGAGACGTTGCACCAACCTCGACTCAGGACGTCAGCAGATTGGATGATAGCGCAGAGTGTTTGATAACCCCAAAGCGACAGCCCTGTGCTGAAGGGGCACTATCAAGACTTTTGTTGCCGTTTGGTAGGTCACCGAGCTGGTGACGCTCACCAGCGCACCTTGTTTGCACTAAGTTCCCTCAGTGGTCCCTGTGCCCTAATAATGTTTGAAGCCTGTTTCGTGGCCTTCAACCCCATCGACATCCATGACTAGGCCTTTTCAAGCTCAAATCTGTGAACAACTGGTGTTGGTGTGCTCCACTCGAATGCAACAATCTCTCTTTCCCGCGTCTGGGTCCCAGACGCAGCCCGTCTTCCGGTTGATGAAATGGCTGCGAGAAGTTCGGAAACGGCTGCGGAATGTTGGAAGACCCGGTGTCTCTATTTTGATTCTTAAAACCTGGTAACACCTGCAAAAGACCAAACCTGATTCTCAAAAACTCTTCTAAAATAATCAAAGACAAAAACGATGTTTCTTGAAGTTTTTGTTGTTTGATGATACTGATGACTTTTCACTATGCCTTTTTGATGTTTTTGACGTTTTTGTGTTGGATCGTTTTTATGATTTTCAAAGTGTTCGTATTATGTTTTTGCTCAGACTTGCTGGTTAGATTTATAACGTACAGGAAAACTGGAGCGATGTGAGGCCAAACTCCCAACTTTGAATCCCAGAAGGTTATATCTTGTATCATCGCGTAACGGATTGTGACATACTGAAAAATGCAACGCAGCAAAACTCAATCCAAATCAAATCAAGAATTTACTCCCAAGAACCACAGGCAGTACAGGAACAACTTCGAAGCCTCGCCGGAAATGCTTGGATATGCTTGGGCGATTTGAGCCCAAAAGTCTGTTGCAATATGTTGCAGAGACATAAAAATCATCCACAGTGCCACGGGCGATTCAGGTAACCACTGGTGTTTTTAACCAGGCAGCGCCCTGTGCAAAACAATGGAACATGATACAAATCTCAACAGAAGCTGTATGAAGCTGTCCATCCCCACACATCCCATCATATCCCCACACACACACTGCGCTCTCAGAAGTCGCTTTGATTTTTTCCCTCCACTTCCCAGGTCAGTCTAAAGGATGAAACCGAACCGTTTTTTCAAAGAAACACCCAACAATAATATATGAATATGTTTGAAGAGACGAAGCAGAACCACCACAGCAATAATTTAGACAGTTGATTGATAACCCGCCCATACGGACATGATTTGATCACTTAGACAGGGGAATACAGGGGGTTATGAATCAACCGGCTAGATAGGAGAGCAGAAATAGCAAAATCATTTACATATAAACCTGCAACACGTGAAGAAGAAGTAGCAAGAAGCACAGGAACATGTAGGAACAACTTGGCAACAAAAGCATCAGCAGCGACAATCACAATGACAAGCGCCATTCGCGACAAAGCGAGCCATGTGGAAGGTGGAGTGGACAGGGGCCAGCGATGAGGATGCGCAGAGGGTGCTCTTGGAAGCACAGTGCAGAGGACATGCCGTGCAAAGTGTTCGTGTGGATGCCTTGACGGCGCTGATTGAGTGGAAGAATTCGGTCACGTATAACGCAGCACGGTCGTGGGTAAGCAGATGTCTCGACACTATGTCTTCTTTGAAGGTCAAGGCCAAGAAGCAGAAGCTGGCGGACTTCAAGTGGACGCTTTCTGTCGGCTATTCCGCGCAGGTCGGTGCCAGTGCTGCGTTTGAGTTGGCCTTGGCTTCTTCTTCTTCTTCGACTTCGCCACCGCCACCTGAACGTCTTCTTGTGGTGAAGCTGTTGGCTCTTATGCAGGGTGCAGAGAGCTTTCCTTACGAGCTAGAAGGGACGTTGGGCAACGGCACTTTCGGTACTGTGTACTCTTCGCGCTCTTGCAGCAGCCTTCCTGTGGCTGTGAAGAAGCTGCAACTTGCCACGATTTTACCTGTCAGGTCTTTTTCTGGCCATAAGCCGAAACGCCCGGCTGAGTCATGAAATGAGGCGTGAAACGATCAAAGACATCACCTACACCTGCACGGGGTGCTGGCATGTGTGCTCATAGCATCTTCTGCGGCTGTTTTGGGGCATTTTTTGCTGAAGTTTTTTCATTCGGTTCGTATAGTTTGCGGCCAGATCCGAGTAAGGAAGCGCAGCGACATCACAGCAGCAGTCCAGGAGCTGAAAATCTTGCGCATGTGCAAGGCGCCAAATTGCAAACTGATTTGTGTGCCAGAGCATGGCCTGTGCAGCTGGACGATCGTTTGCGAGGTGACACGCCAGATTGCTTGAAACCAAGAGCTCCTGATCAGCTACGCGGTGATCAGTGCCGCCTGCCACAGCTCCCGCCGCCAAGCTACCCCGAACCGCAAAAGCGAACTCGGAGAGCAAAGGGAAAGGGCGAACCGAAAGAGGAGTAGAGAACAGTCTAAGAAGCCTTCTGTTTTCCATATGTGCGGGCGCTTGGCAGTAGTATTTTCCACAAGCGAACGGAAGTTTGGATGTTCGGGTTTTGCAACACGAAGAAGATGTCATAAAACCATGAGCACCTGCGCTTGGCTTGAGAAACACAGGCCGGAGTATTTTTTCTTTGACATGTGCCACATGAGCCACGTATAAACATTAGCCCGCTGTCCCTGTTTGTGTAAATCCCACTTCGAAAAGAACAACTCTGTTCAGAATATGTTCCTCCTGTTTTTTGAAGTCTTTGTTTTTGCTGATGTTCGATGTGTTCATCAAAGCCAAAAACTTCTCAAAACTTTAAGAGCTCTTTGAAACACCATCCAAAATCATCAAAAACAAAGACTTCAAAAAAACGACCTGTGACTAACTGCCGGGCTGTTAGTCACACGTGTTTTTTGAAGTGTTTGTTTTTGATGGTTTTTGACAATCGATATGATTGAAGTTTTTGGTGTTTTTTGAAGTTTTTGTTTTTGCTGGTTTTGATATTTTCTTCAAAAAAACAAAACAATTTGAAAAAAGAAAACTATATTAAACATCAACAAAAAGCGAAAAAAAAAACTGACTTGTGACCAACGCCGGGCTGTTAGCCACAAGCGCTTTTGAGACTTTTTAATGTTTTGTGGATATGTTTTTGTGGTTTTTTTTTGCGATGGTTATTGAAAATATGTGTTTGATGGTTTTTGAAATTGTTGTTTTGATGTTATTTGATGGTTTCTAGAAAATGTATTTTTTTGCTGCGACTTGCTGGCTAAGATTTTTGCTGTTTTTGCTGATTTTTGATGTTCTTTTGATATCATGTTGGCTGATTTGTTTGCAACTTCATTCTGAGATTTCCTGACAGCTTCCTGGCTTCATGTTTCAATATGTTTCAACTGGTTCAGACCGTATCTCAATGTCACTCAGCTTTTCTGAGGAGCAATGGCTGAGTCAATGGAGGAAATTACAGATAGTCCACATGGCCCAGAGATCACAGAGAGCTCAGTTTTGTGCTTGCAATTTTCCAGCTGGTTAGAAACGCAGTTGGGGAAATACACAGCTTTGCACAGCTTTAAAAAATATATAAACCAAAATCATGAAAGACATTGAAGAAGCCTGGCAAGATCTGAAAAACAAATGTTCCAGATTTTTTTAAAACCTTCCCAGGAGTGGGCAATTGTCACAGCAGAATTGGCCAGCGACGCTTTAAAAAAAAATGTCATTGTTTCCTGACGAGATGCCAACGCAACTGGATGCCCAAAAAACATCAAAAAACTTAAAATCAAAACGTGATCCAGATAAAACACTGCGATACTACAAACTAAATATGCCAGTGAAGACATGAAAATTTATGAACACAAGAAACCATAAAAAACAAACAATAATTCTGATTGTACCATATTGCACCCAACCATCATATTCCACCCATGTGTTTTTTTGAGCGCCAAGAAGGTTCCGGATGTGCAACCAGCATGGCATGAACCCATACTTTCCACAGCCCTTGGAATTGGCTAGCCATTAGACACCGACACCCCCCGCTTAGGGGGTGGTGATGAAAGTGGTCTTAAAAATCATGTGCGCCAAAGGGTTGAAATGTTCTGGGCAGCGAATGAGTTCATTTCAGGTGGGAGGTTAAGCATCCGCGTGAGCTACTTAGCATGATCCACGCGCGCCGTGAGACCTTTTGGGTCCGGGAGGACGGAAAGATGACATGCCAGGCGCTACGTTCGTAATTAGCGTCCTTGCCCCGTTCGTAGCGATGCCCTTTGTTACTAGTAGCTATGTGCTCCGATGTCTTCGAAAGGCTTCAATAGGACATTAGAGGAGACAGATTCTAGCACCTTCCCCCTCCCAAGCTTTCGACCGCGAGAAAGTCCCTACCAAACGCCCCAAATCTCGGCGGAGCTGAGCCCTTTGGACCTGGCGCGTTCGAAGCGACGGTTTGGTTGGAACACGTGTACCACTACCGGCACTGGCGCATTCTTCCGCACATGCTGTGATGTTCGGTCTTTCAGCTTGGAAACGTCGGTGCGTTTTATATTTCTGCAAGACTGACTGGTGCTTAGTGCGGAACAATTAAAGGAATGGACCCTGAGGTATTTACAGGGCGTGCTTCAGTCCGCCGCTAATGTACGTTTTTTGTCGCCCACGTTCTGAAGTGGGTTCCATCACTGTTCGACAATTGTTTTCAGTTGGATTCCCTCCAAGAAACATCCTCTCCCAATAGAAAGATTGCAATATTAGCAGCAAATATAACATCCATCCTCTCCCAAAACTCCCGTTCACGCTTCAAAATGGGCCTGTTTCAGGATGGGAAGACAGGCGTCTTCCGGTCGGGCTCCGCAGGACGCAGTTCAACCTGGCCAACCTCTATTTGCAGTCGCAACGTCCCTTGGCTTGGTCCAGATCCCTCGTGGAAGCGTGGAAGTGACGCGTCGTTGGTTTGTTTCGACTTGCAACGGCAAAGAACCGGCGTGGTTGCTGAGCCATTCGGCGACAAAGAACCTGCAAGTTGCTTTTTGGCTATTGATGATGACCTCTCCACGGCTCCTGCCTGCACCCCTGCAATTTGTACTGGTAGTTGATAAGAGGAAAGGATCCAAAAATGTTCCACCCAACATCCGCACGGTCCTCCAACAAGAGATGTTCCAAAGGAACCGCCTGCGTCCCCCCTCGCCGCATCTCCAAGGTATGGACGAGGCCTTAGCCGCCTATCGCCGCGCGGTGGCCGCAGATCCGCAGGCATCGAGTTGGGCGGCGGCGGTGGAGGTTTCCAAGGGGGGGAGAACGAAGGTAGGATGGTTGTCTTTGGTGTTGCTCTAGTTGTTTTGCTTTGATGGTTTCAACTCCTTTTTGCTTTGGTATTCGGAAGGGGGAAAGAACGTGGGATACCTCAACTGTGAGCTCAATGAGCCCGTCTGGATGATGGGAACTTGATCGAGATCGCAGTGCAGGACCCGATCCCCCCATCAGGATGAGCATGGAGACCTTTGGCTGCATGAAACACATCTATTACAATGTGGGGCTGAAAACTAAGACACTCAAGATCTTGAATGCCGTCACCAAGATCATCGAGGAAGCGATGAACATCCGCCTCCGCAAGGCTTAAGTCATCACCGGCTCAGTCGAATGCGGTTTGCGTATGGGCTTAGTCAACATTGAATGATGGCGCCAGTCACTACAGTGGCTGCTGGACGTCTTTGCAACACACTGGCCTGGCAGGAACAGATGGATCGCGAGCCACAGTGACGACGGGGCCATCGTTGTTGATGAGACTAAGCATCACAAATTGCTACGCCTCAAGTTTTTTGCTTAATGAGCCTCTCACATTTGTGATTAGCCATCGGTCGCGATTTGCGCACCAAATAATCATTTTGATGGAGACATGTTGCATTTGCAAATCAGTCCTTAAAGGGATCAAGTCCTGGAAGCTCTTGAAGTGAAGGAAGTTGGAGGATTGTCGACTGCAAAAACGATGGGGTACTACATCAGGATTCTCGCCATAACAATCTCAGAAACGTCATCTTGAGCCGTCGGCCTTCTTAAGTTTAAGAAAACAAGCCGGCGTTCATTGACTGGCTTGATTTCACATGATTTCACTGTCCGCGAGCACTTGACGTTGATGAACACTACACCCATGATTCATGAGCTTTACTCGGATCCTTGTACCCTTCTGTTTGCACCAGTAGAGCTGCAGCTGGATTTGGGTTCGTTGCCTTCGTCAGCCCACTGGTAAATGCTTTCACTGCAATACTGACCAAAGGTTATTTGACAAGGAAGAGGAGGCAACGCACTTGCAGCTACCTGGGACTGGACCCTAATTATGATTTGGACCACGAATTCGTGATGCCGAGTTCCTAACTTGCTAAGGGTCAACTTGTGAGTCGCAGTGTAGGTCGAGTACCTACCGCTAGCCGCGACCGTACCAGCGACCGTACCATCGAACCGACCACCAGGACCGACCAGCGTTCCACGGTCATGCGACCGCACTGCTTCTGCTGGCAGCGCCACGTCATCAGTCCCTTGACAGTCCGGACCGTGAAGTAGTGGAAGATGTGCTTCCTGTGGTGCAATGTTCAGCAAGACACGCATCCAATGGCCAGGAGTGTGCATCCAAGCGGCCTGGCTTGTCAGAAATATCAGAATATCAGAATTGGTGCAGTCACGTGCGGTATTGTTGGCCATCACCTGATGTGAAGGCTGCGGACTGACTGTAAAGGAAACAATAATCGTCCGTTCAAACCCCAAAATGTGCGCGCGTGCGAGACCCAGGCATAACGGCCACATGTCATGCTTGGAGGCCAAGCAGACTGTTGTGCTGGATCCCCCTGTCAAAGCGAGCTTCGCTGATCGATCTCCTCGGTCTTCTTCAGGAAGTGACTGATGAGGAGAGACTGGCCAAAATCAAATATTTCAAGCACAAGTGACAAGTTCAACAGTCAGATGATGCCTTCGAAGGGCTCCACTCCAGTTCTACCGACAGGTGCCCCTGACCCTTGCAATGATCAATCAAGGCCCGCCCGGCACGGCGGCTTCCGCGGCACGGCATGGCCGATAGCCACAGCGCTACGTTCCGGCCGACTTAGGCCAATTGGCAGCCGAAGCGACGGCTCGCAGTCGCGTCCCAACACCGCACTCTGTAAACCTCGAAGTGCAGGTTCCTTGTATCATGTGCGAACTCACTTGTGTACTCTCAAATGTGTGCTCTCGTGTGCACGTTCTTTCATAGCTGTGCTCTCATTGTGCTCTCTTGGGTTTGCTCACCTGTGTGTGTGTGTGTGTGCGTGCTTTGTATGCTCTGACATGTTCTCTCATGTGCGTGTTCTTTCACAGCTTTGTTCTTGCTGTGTGCTCTCATGAGCTTGCTCACATAAGACATATAGTGAGTGTGCTTCTTCATGCCCGCGCTCGCACATGTGTGCGTGCAGCGTGCAATTGCATGCGTAGCTTGCTCTCACCTCAGGACCTGTGTGCTCTCATTTGCTCTTGCAGGTCGGCTTTTCCGACCCTTTGCTACATTCAGCGACTTCAACCGCCCTCCACCCCTTTTTCAAACCGCCACCGTGCCCCCCGTGCGTGCGCAAGTCTCAAAACGCAAACCTGACATATCTTCCGGCAGGGCGTGTGAAACCTCTTTTTTCTAGATGATTTTCTATAGAAAACGGCTTGAACGACCCCCTTCTGTGGTAACATCACGCATCACATCGTTTTGTGTCCAAGCCGTGGAGCTGCTGGCCAGGAGCGCGATTCGCAGCCGCTCTACCATGCGGGGCAAATCCTGCAGCTTGGATGACAAGCACCATCAATCATCCAAGTAGATGGTGATCCACTCAGGTCAGCCCCTTCCTGTTCAGAAAATGCCGTCCCAAGCCAACAAGAAGGATGTTCCGTGTTGTTTTGCACAGAAATGAACCGGACATCAAACAATTGGACGAAGCCATGCCGGACCCTCAGAATGTCCCACCAATAGATTCAATGTGCACGCTGGTCAGGATGTGGGTATGGGTCAGAATGTGGAGGAACACCGCGGGAGATAAGCTTTTTGAGAAGACCGGGATGTTCATGGTTTGTTCCTGCTTTTGTCGGACACGGGCACCCATTGTTGCAAACATTTGTTTCTATAGGTTTCGGTTCTGCCTTTGCTCCACGTTCTCTTTTGCCGAGCAGGCTTTTGTCTTCCCAACAGGTTAGAAGGACGTCACGACGTCCCTTCTTTGGTCAACGGGCCGATGTGGGCGGAGAGAGGCGTTGATTTGGCCCCAACAGCATGGCAGAAAGGTTTATCTGTAAGGCGTCGATGATTTAGCCCTAGGACTCCAACTACCTCCGTTTCAGTGTGGTTGAGGTAGGTTTTGGGGATCTATCCACCTTCTGAGGATATTGCTGGAGCGGTTGCTTCGGCGCCCTGTGTTCGGGGTAAGGTCCAGGGTTTCTTGGCTTTTGGGGGTTGATTCTAGAACTCCCAAAAGGGGTGGCAGAGGATTATCTAACAAGAAACCGACCTTGCCGCTGAGGATGTACAAAGGGCACTACCAGGAGGCGGAGACCCTTCTCCACAAGGCTGGACCGGCTTGGCCATGCTGTTGACGGTGCTGCATGGGCTTGGGGTGCTCCGATGCTGCTAGTTTTGCTCGTATGGCAAGGGCAGATCAGGGATGATCAGGGATTCGGGGGCAGGGGACTTGGTCCATCAGAACGTTAAATTCGTCAGGGATAGCGCAAGAACCTGTGGAGCGGTGAAATAACACAGACGGCGTGGCCGACAAACAAACATGCTGAAGCGTGGGTCGATGCCCTCATACCTCAGCATTTCCCTCCATCCAATCTATGTTTGCCCCTTAGCCAAAACGAGAATCCACACAGGTCATGCAGATGATCAGGGCTTTGCTGCCCAAAACACAAGTTGGGATCTTCTTCTACGTGCAAACCTTCTTCCCTCAAACATCCTAAACTCGGCACATTTGTCTTTAGTGACGCGCTTGATGTGATGGTGTTCCTTTGTTAAGAGTCTTTACGCTTTTTTTGAGTTTGAGAGTGGAATGTTTTAGAGGAGAGTTTGAATGACATTTTCACTTGTTGGCTCATCGTGCGCTTAGTGTACCAGTCCAGGGTCTCCAGGGTGATTTGAAGGAGGAATACTGTTCGCACAGCTAATCACAAGGGGAGGCTGACAGTGTTCCTCTTTTACAGTTGTTTAATGTGTTTTACATGTTTTACGTTTTTGTTTAACGCTTGTTTATGTTTTGGCAGGTGCACAAAGGATTGGCAAACATTCAGGGAAGTGGTTATGATGATTCAATGCTTTAAAACAATACCTGAATCTGGTGAATAGCTACTCTAAGCTTAAAAAGACTAAACACTGTTTAAAAAAAGGGGGAGTAAAAAAGAGCAAGAAAGAGCAAGACACAGTATAAGATAGTATAAGGTAGTCAAAAAAGAAGACCGTCAGATCCATCCCCATCACTCTTGACATACATTTTGGCAAGAGTGGATGGTGCTTGACCAGACCCCCCAACATCCTTCAACTACAGCAGGGCAGGGTCTTCCAAGGGCAGGGTGGACCTTAAACATAAAACCCACCCAAGGAAGGTCTAGGATGCAATGACCGGTCACTTCTGGTGAGGCGGTCACCACCGTCCGGCCATCAGTCAGGCGGTCACCGGCTACTTCAGCCCGCTGACCTTGCACGAGGAGGAGGCTTGGTAGCTCCCACGCGAAAGTGGCACCGAACGGGCGGGCAGCGCACCAACAGCCAGCAAAACCAAATAGTACCAAAAGGAAACAAACAAAATAGTAAGACAAATGCAAAGAAATACCAAACGCAAGAAACAGATGCCCTCCTCGTGGTGGCCAACAGTCACAAAAGCCAGGCCGGTGACCGTTTTGTGTGTGTTTTTAGCCACATGCAGATGCATGTGTTTCATACGTTTTTGCTGTGGATGACATTCCGTGGTTGGTTCCTGAGCTACGCGCAGCTACGCGACCAGCTCATGTTTGTGTCCACCTCTTCTAGCCGATGTCCTTCTTCAACCAGCCCAGTGGGGGAAGAGTGTCCATTCTGGGCCATCCACTCAACCCATGACCCATCTAGATGCTTCGCTGGCAGATCACCCGTCGGGTTCCCCGACGAAACAGCTGAAGCATATGAAGATGCAATCCGAAAAATGCTGGAAGTCAGAGCAGGTGCATGTCATGGCATCAGGATTTGCATGGCTCTACAATTGAGAAAAAAATACACATCGAAGGACATGTAAGGACCCTTAAAACGAGCCAGATCTGCTTGATGTATGCTCACTCCATTTTCCTTTGAAACAAGGTCCCGAGCAGTTTGCGTGTTGCACACGTGGGTGTGGGGCTTTTGTTAAGCAAATCGTACAGCCACAGACTGAGGGTAGACAAATCATTTATTATTGCTAGTAGCTTCTTGTTCCTACTAGTCAGGCACTTGTTACTAGTAGCGATGCACTTGTTACTAGTAGCTTATTGTTTCTACTTTGATGTTGCTTTCGTTTTCATCATGTGTTTTTTCATGTGCCTTTTTTCATGTACATGGAGACCCTTTGATGAAGCATGCGGGGAATGTTCTTATGAAGAAGAGAAAGAGTGTGTTGAACCTGGTTACAGATCTTTCAAAGCTGGAATATCATGGAATATCCTTTCAGTAGTAATGAGTGCAATGGAATAAAAAAAATATATAAATATATATATATATATACACACTAGTTTCAGAGGCTGCCATGAAGATTTGGGCTCCACTATAGCCCTGCCCACTTAGCTAGCTCCCAACATATGGCCTCCCATACCCGGCGCCAGTTCGGCGTCTTGCGCGGCTCGCGAGGTCTGGCACGACTATGCGTTGGCCTTGTGGCACGTGGGGAAGCACATGGAAGCGGCGGAGAACTTCCAGCGCCTTGGACGTCGTGAAACGCGCTAAAGCGTCGTTCGGTTCGACCGGACGAGCGCACCGGGGGAATGTTAAAGCGGGTCGACCCTGGAGAGGGTTTGACAAAAGGGTTTGAAGAAAAAAACAACAAAAACAAAATAAACGGGTTCCCATCAGAATTCACGGTTCCTGGCGTTTTTCCTGCATCCAGGCGCAAGGTTTGGGGGTGTCACGGTGGCTCCAAGCAGCATTGGTTTTGCGTGCCCCGCCTCACCCCCCCGGCTGCAGACGGTTTTTTTGGCGTGGGACATGTTCCCCAAAGCTGTCTCAGGCGGGAGGGGTTTTCCATCACCGCTTGGAGGATTGGAGGGTGGGAAAAAATCGTTGGAAGCCAAAATGGAGTGGATGACCTAACAGCGTAAAGAATGAACGTCCAGGTTATATATGTGTAAGACCGGAATACCACAAAAGGTGTCGTTTGTTTGTCTCATCAGATGCAACCGTTCGCCCTAAACCTCTACTTAGACCACTTGACATGTTGACGAAAGTTGCTGTATGCAGCTTCTACTCATACCAAGTTGATGATTTGCCGGGGCTGCATCAACTCAGTGGGCCTTTGTTCTAGACTTGGCCACCCTGTTGAGCTGTGGCTGCCGGTTGTGAGTTGGGAGTGAACGGTGCGACCCAGGTACCCCAAGCAAGGGTACCCTTTTCCCCTCAGAGCGAGCCAGGAACGAGTCGTGCTTGAACCACCATGTCACCTGTGAACTTGCTGTTTTTGGAACTAACTAGCATGGAAGTGGATGGCGCCCACTGTTTGCAGAGGCTTGCATGGTCTTCCAAACTTGGGGCCATGCCCTCCACGTTAGCTCCTTTTGGGGGTCTAAGTCACTTGGTGAGCTGGCCGCTGGCGCTTTCGCTGGGCCGCTCAGGAACGCCATCATCACGAACCCCAGCTTTCCCAAAGGCGCGACGCGGTCACCGGATGATCGAGGGAAGCCGAGTAGCACGAGCGGTGCGTGAGTGGATGGCGAGTGACTGGCGAGTGACTGGAAGAAGAGTGGTTGCTCATAGCACGAGTAGTGGTAGACCGATATGTTGATATGGATTCAGTGCGGTTTGTCCGAGCTTACCTGTAACAGTCAGTAAATACATTCTCACTCTGATTGAAAAGGGCCTGCAACTGAAGCATCATTTGGGAATAGGATAGACCCAAGAGGTTGATCACTGAGTATATGGACTCTATTAACCAATGGAAGGAAAGGAGGGAAGATGAAGGGTTTGGAGGCTCACTCAGTTGAAGCATCCCTCCAGTTTTGGATCCTTCGCTGGTCCAGCGATTCATTGGAGTCACCAATCGATCGAGTGGGATCTCTCTGGCACGTCTCTTTTGACTTTTGGGGGGAATTCTGAAAGCTGAAACTGAGTCCCGAACTGGAGAAGGTTCGGTTCTGTTACTGGCTTTACATCCTTTTTGGCTCCGGGGGCCATAGACAGGACAGAGTGGGACGAACCTGCCCCCGCCATGTGACAGCAGAGTGGGCCCTGCAAGATACTGCTCCAAAAATCTATCCACGAAACGTTTCTTCCCTTATAGAATCCAGGGCCCTACTGTAGGGCCTAAAATTAGGGGGTCATTCTATAGCGAGGTATTTTTTTGAGCCTTGAAAGGCCTTAGGCCTTAGGCATTTTATAGAAAGGGATCTTCCCTGCAACATGTGCAAACCCTCTCCTTGGTCATCATGAGTCCCGCTCGCGGACCGTTTACACGCGCGGACGCGGGTGGGACTGAGGGCATAACAACCTGGCATGTGCACTGGTCCTTTTGGGGCTCTCCAGCCAACCGGTGAACATGCCACTGGCCGCTTGGAAGAGTGAAGGATGATCGATTCGGAAACGGCTCGCCTGGGGCCGCGAGAAGCGTGTCCGGGGGAAACCAGTTGGTATGTCAAACGAAAGAGCGAAGCTAGGTGAAGCGAGGTATTTCATGGTCGGTGTTTTTCAACACATGTGTTTCAATCACTGGTATATCTCTGATGGATGTCTTCCCAACGATTCCATTCTTGACCCGTCTGCCGTACTTGACCGCGTCGAAGAAGCGGCGTTTTTCAGTGGTTGCTTTTCCAGAATCGGCAGGAACAGGAGATCGAATCGATAGGAGTGGCAGGAAGACATGCCGCCCTGGAAGAACGAACGATCCCATGGAACCTGAGTACACCCCTGGTTGCTAGAGGAAACATCGTCGAAACCAGACCCAGGACGGACGGACCGCCAGGGTCGAGATGTGAGTGACATCGGGAGTCTATCCGTGGCCCCGCAAGAACGGCCCGCGGGCGCTCGCAGGCGGTGCCAGGCTCAACATTGGTACTGGCTTGTATCTGGTGGATTTGAGAGGTGAGAAATGGCACAGGTGACCCCCAGTGTGGTGATTTATATGGACCCCCATCTAAGAGTCAGTCATCTTGGACGTTGTGCCATCTGAAACCACGCCGTAGATCGTTCTTTTTGAGAGGGGCTCTGAAGGGGTAGGGCTGGGGCATTGCGTTTTGACGGACATCCCAAACTGGGCCATTTGCTTGGAGAACTCACTAAGATATGCACAAACATGCACAAACCATCTTACTATAGGCTACCCCTGTGTCATCGCAATGACATGACTAACCATGTAAAACCCAAAGTCCCTGGGCCAAAATCAACGATTCTCCTATCTTCTCCTCAAATTCACCCATGCCTCACATGCCTCGCCATTTCGGAGCGGCTTCGATTCCCCGGTGAGGTGCAACAAGGGCTTCAAGCCGCAGAGTCCTTGGGGCAGTGTTGGGCGGCAGAGTCCTGGGGCGGGCGGAAGTCGTTCCTTTTTTCGAACGAAGTTCCCCAGGGTCCTTGGTTGGTTTGGAAGAAGAAGAAGAAAGGCACATTGCAATGGTTTGGAAGGAGGAGGAAGAGGAATTGGCATTGGAAAATCATTTGACTCTTTTTTGAGGATCTCACAGTTATCGCCAGGGTTTTCTTTGGCTTTCTGATGTGTGCCAGATGGTGAGAACTCTACTCTTCAAGAGTGGCTGCCTGCTCGTCTCATCATACATACCCTAAGGGTCCAGGACCATCCTGAGGATGTCCTTTGACCCCCCAAGACCATTCTTTGGAAGTACTTTCACCTCCAAGACCATCCTCAATCAGGGGTACCTGGACCCTATGGGATATGCATGGGTTTGCCACAGTAATACGCTGTGTTTGTTCCGGGCCTCAAAGGTCGATGATGTGTTCCCCGCGCCTTCAGAGAGTGCAACCATATATTCGTTTGAATAGGGCCGTTTGATCCATTGAATCCGTTGGGTCCATCTCCAACGACACATGCACCCTACACAAGCCCAATGCCCGTCGTGCCTCGGTGTGCCTCGTTCATTCCCTTACTAGGAACCCTTAAGGACCCCTAACCAGTCACTGCTAGTCGTACGGACCCCTTGATCCACATTCCTTGATCCATGCAATCCACACAATCCATAGACCTTCATGTCGAGGTGTCCTGGCTGGAGATCCACAAGTAGTGCAGGGCATTCCATTGGAGACCTCGACATGAAGGTGCACAATCCACCCCACCCGTGTTGAAACCTCTTGACCACCCCTTTGAATTAAGCCAAACTGACCTCTCTCACATTCAACCAAAGGATATCCTGTTCCACGGACTCTCGGTCTGGCAAATTGGGCTGAAAAAACCACCTGCCAGTACCACTAAACCCCACCCTTCACCAGACTCCCTACAAGACCAGCTCCAGACCCTCCGGCCGCAGCTCCTGAGACACGCGATCACCTTGGCTCCTCTGGTGCCGCTCTACTGGCGCAACGCCGCGGTGCTCCTGTCGCTCGCCGGCGACCTCGCCGCGGCACAGGGCGCCTGGGAGCGCTTCCGGCAGATGGATGCGCCCACAGCGGCGCGGGAGGAGGTGCAGGGCATACCCCGAAGCTTGGCAGAAGCAGTCGGACGACTGCTGTCATAGGCGGTCGTTGCTGATGGATAAGACTATAGGTCAGTCGACCTGTTGGATTGGATTCAGGCAGGGAGGATCCGAGAAAAGAATCGATTGGAATGCCATTCTTTTTGGGAGTCTAGGGGACCAGGGGAAAGGTAATATTGTCTACGGGGAGCCGGTTTAAAGCAAAATGGTCTACGTGAAAATAAAGGGCCCCTTGAACACGGATTCTGTTCTGTCTGACGGGGCCCCTTTAACACCAGCTGGTGGGTGTTGCCGAGCGTTCCACTGCAGACGCTGCAAAGTCCGCCACAATATACAACCTCAAAGGCGGCTTCTTTGGTGACGACTTCTCGGCGAAGTCCTCCGGGGTGCGCACATTCCTCCACAGGCGAGCGCCGCCTCTTCGTCCTCACACTCACTCACTCTCCCACTCTCACTCACGCTCACACTCACTCACACCCTCACACCCACCGTCACTCTCACTCGCACTCACACTCGCGCTCACTCCCTCCCACTCTCACTCACGCTCACTCTCACTCTCACTCGTACGCGCACTCACACTCACTCACTCTCCCACTCCCACTCACACTCACTCTCCCTCTCAAATAGTTTTGTGACACCTATTCACTGACACTGACAGGTTAGGATGCAGCATCAAGTGAAAATAGAGTAAAATGAACAGGGATGATCATGTTTATGTTCCTCATTCAAGCGTTGGAGATGTATTTGTTTTGTTTCTGAATTGTATCTTGATATATTCACTTGCATTCCAATTGCGTCACATCTGGAACAAGACACTTGATGACAACTTCTCCTTCTACCCAGACTACCGATGTGCCAAAAGTGGTGTCCAGCATTTTTAGCAGCGGTTGGGTCTGGATGGGGTATTTGTATGCGCCAGAGCTAAGGCAAGGTACTTCTCCTTGGTGACCCATGCCAGGACACAAGTCGCAGGTCAGGTGGAGCTTAGTGGCTCTGGGGATGAATTGCTTACGATACCTCTTCAACCACCTCCGAGATGTGCCTGCTCCCAGCATCCGTCAGCGGGTCCGGTTCCTCAACCGAGCTACCCTCCTGTCGGCTACGGCCACGTGTGACGCAAATCCTGAACGATTTGATCTACGACCATATCCTGACACAATTGCCCTTTGTCAGTCACAGGCAACATTCATGGCAGCTGCAGTTTGGAGCCGGCCGCCGCTTGTGGCATATGTTCTCCAGTACCTGGATCTCATCGCCCAAGCACAGTGCTGCTCCATTTCAGCTTCCTTTGTTCCACTTCAAGCAATGACAGCAGTGATCGAAGCTAGCAAGTTGCCACACCGGCTGCCATCGGTCGGGATGGGGCATGGTCACAGGGCCGCTGCCCCATTTGGACGGGCAATCTCTGAAATGCCCAGGTCAGTGTTCTTGGGCACATCCTCCGAGGCCAGCGCTTTGTTGCTAAGGTTTTGCTCGTGAGTGGAGTGAAGTGCAGTGCAGTGGAGTGCAGTGGAGTGAGGTGAGGTGAGGTGAGGTGAGGTGTGGTGAGGTGAGGTGAGGTGAGGGAGTGAGCATCTGAGAGCACAAAGTTTGCTGCGGCTTCGAGGTTTACCAGTTCAATTGCTGTGCCGGCCACAAAATCTGCACTTTGAGGTTCACAAAGTGCTGCACCTGCCACGAAATCTGCATTTCGAGCTTCAAAGTCTCCACCTGCCACAAACTCCGCATTTCGAAGTGCAACCGCTCCAATCCCTTGCACCTGCCACGAAAAGTCGACTATGGACCACCAAAACACGAGGTTTCCCTTGCGCCTGCCACGAAAAGTGACCACCATGTGCGAAAATGCGCACAGCACCACAACGAGAGCACAGTCGCGACAAGCACCCGCCGCTGCCACCCAGATTTCGCGAGCGTGCGCATTCGATATGCACGTCGACGATTTCGAGAGGCATGAATGTACTGTAAATAGCAGTGAACTAGCCGTTGACGTCGGCGCGCCCCAGCGATCTAAGCACCCCTAAGTGTGTCCACACTGTTTGGGGAATCAAGGTGGTTCACAAGCACCCTGAAATGTATTCGTGTTGAAATGTTTTGGGGTTAATGGTGCAAGGATTTGGGCCCTGGAAAGGTATCCCACCTTAGCTTTCTCTTGCTCAGCTATTGAATATACGTTGCCATTGAGATCCTTGCCTAGCGTCTTCTGAGGCTTTGCTTGGGCCCTGGACTCGACTAGTACTGTTAGTGCCACTACCAGGAACGTTTTGGGGAACGATTTTTCTTGATTATCCCAACAGTGAAGCTTGATAGTAAAGACTTCGGAGCAGGGTCCGGGGCAGGTGTGAGTTCTGGAGCAAGCTCTCGGCAGCATTTTTGCAGATATGCCGACATACTGCTCGCAGATATGCGCGCAACAATTGTCACGCTGATATGTGCGGGCGTCCTGTGACACCTATCATGCTGCCACGTTGTTATCTGGAGGAGATGCTGACGTTGGGTAATCCTGTCGTGCTGACACGGTGGCAGGGTCATTCTGTAGCAGATTGCCTGCTTCTTGTTTCTTGTGACGTTGTCATGTTGCTGGCATAGTACAGTTTCTTTGAGTTTCGGGACGGTACGTTGCATGTTTGATTCTTCCCAGCACCTCATGGAAATTCCCGGCACCGAATCCAAGGAGATTGCACCTGGGAATCTTGGCTCTGAGTTTTTTGCCGCGCGAGGAACGATAGGATTGAGTGGCGGAAGGGATGCCTAGGCCTTTAACCTCTTCTCGGAAGCAACTTGACAGGTGGACACGTGAAAGATCAGGCAGGCGTCTAATTACAGACAAAGCCCTACAATGTTGGTGGGAAGCACCTGCGGGTGGCGCAAGTTCCCCCTGGCGGTTGAAGCGGCAGAGGTGGAACGAAGCCAGGAACCTGTAGATGGAAGCTTTGAAGACAAATCTCATATCATTCTTTGAGCCGATGAGCCGCCCCTGTTGTTCGTAACTGGACGGCCGCATGTGCCACACGAGCAGGGTTGCGCACTGACTGTGGTGTTCAGATGTGTTCGGGACCGCTATGTGGAGCACCTCAGTGCCTTCTATCCTCAGTGCCATCTCCCCTCATGAACCAGACCATTGTGATCTCCTGTAACGCACTTTAGTTCCGGATGTGTTTGTTGGGAAACTGTGTTTCAACCAGCTGAGTTCTTTTGTTCTCGGAGCAAAAGCACAAAGGGTTGATCATGGGGACCGTTTTTGCCATGAAGAAACACCTGAGTACGAGTACCAATCGGTCAATGTCACTCGAAATGGACGATGATGCGCATGCTGATGCCCTATAGCGGCTATAGCGACTTGCTGAATGTTGGTAATTTTATTGAATGGTCCACTACTTAAAAGTTGGTTTGTTCAATCGTATCGCTGAGGAGTTCTATTTCCGCTGACGAGCACGCGATGCGCTTGAAAGCAGAGAAAGCAAAAGAGCACAGTTTTAAGCTGCCATAGACGTCGCGTGCTCTTAACAATGAGCAGAGTCATCTTGGAGAAAATTGAAGTTGTGAGAAGATCCAAGTTCCAAAATTCCAAAGTTGACCGTTAAAAGATTCCAGAATCAACCTTCTTCAGGTTGGTTTTGTTCCCCCGTATCGGTAGTCGCGCTAACTACAGTAGCAGCTGGGTTCTACGTTGGTTTCGCAGGCCCTTGCGCCAAGGCCATGGCAAAGTGCACATTGACTTCTCACAAGTTTCGCCACATCCGTTTTACACACTGAAATGTTCCTTTGGGGGGTAGGATGTCCTGTTCCGCTCCCGATTAGTAAGAAAAAAACACCGGTGTCATCAGTTTGGTTCCTTCTTGGGAACACTCACCTAGCACGCCCCACTGGAGCAGCATCAAAGAATCAAAAATCAAATCTATAATCTATCTGAATCTTGGAAAGATCACCACTGTGCAAATATCTTCGGGGTGTCCTATTGCCTGTAGCAGTCGGTAAACAAGAACATTACTATTTTAGAGATGGAAAGGAAAACTGAACCATCATCCACTGGGCTCAGGGAATGGGATATATTCTGGATATATGATATACCCAACCAAATCTCCCGCTCCTTTCGGTGTTTCTTCACTCGGAGGGAGCGGTGGCTCACTCACTTGGAGGGGGCGTCTCGGCAGGTCTTAGGTGGTCCGCTGGGCGCGATGATTGGCGTCTTGGAGAGGGTGGGGGGGGTCGAGCCTGGCCTCGGAGATCCTCAGAATTGGAGGGCAAAACAAACATCTCCACAAACATGGGATAAATCAAAAAACATCCACATGATTGTTTGGGGCGATGTTTTGTTTGTGGATAAAAAGGGCAAAACATGGGAAGTGGGTGGCATGGTCGAAGTGCACGGTTTCACTCATCCGTGACATGGTCTTTCTCTGGCACTTCGACCCAGAGAGTGTGGGGTCGTCGGGGTCGTGTGGGGTGGACCCAGAGCATATGGAGATCCTCAGAGAACCTCAGCACTTCGTCGGCTGTTCGTCGAGTTTGCTGTTCGTCGCCTTTGGCATGGTGTTCGTGTTGGAAGAGGGTTTGCAGCATGGAAGCGGGACCCGCACGGTGTGGCATGAGGTTCACACATCTGAGAGAAGGCCGGCATGGACGGTATGAGCATGTTCAGTCTTCACTTCCGTGGGATGGATGAACTTGGGCAAGCTGTTGGACGGTCCACGTGTTTGGAAACGCTTCCGCGAAGTCGTTTCAGTGAATGGGTAGAGTGGGTAGAGCGTGAATGTTGTCAGGCAGTTGCTGTGTCCTTTTCTGCCCTTTCCCCAGATAGGCAAAAGAAGCCTCTTTCCTTTCCACGATGCGTTGGAAATCGTTTGCTCCACCTTCAACCTGAACAGACGTTTGTTTCAGTTGTGCCGTTCCTCATCTGGACCATGCGCTCCAAAGGTTTGGTCGCAAGAAAACCGGTCTCCACCGTGGCCTCCGGAACCTCAAGACTCAATGTCTCCCAGACGTGGCCTGTGCACTGTGTGGCCTGGCCTTAGGTGGATACAACGAAGAGGATTGGCTCTACCAGGAGATCTTCTCCAAAGATCCCAACGAAGCGATCCAGGAACACGCGAACCACGCGAACGTCGACGTCGCGCCGCGTCGTCGGAGTGGTATGCTTTTCCTACGCGCTGGGTGGATCACACTCACCAGCCGAGCGAAGTGAACCGCACCTCATTTCAACTCGAAAGCTGGAAATGGGTTGGTTCATGCTTTTGCTTGAGAAGTGCTTTCACCAGAAAGAAGCATTTCCAGATTCGTGAACACTTGGCCGGTTTGCTTTTTGTAACTATGAACCCCCCAAGTGTCATGGAGCCTATAGAGAGGTGGGGTCAGGCAGGCTTCCTCATCTTCATGTGCTTGAGATGTCCACCCCAGGTATGACCAAGATTAGATTGCTCATCAAATGGTAACATCATCCATCCAAGACTCAAAAATCCAACCACAAGTGTTTGATTGCTGCCATTTTTTGGATGGTGAGCGTTCACACCAATCCGTTGAGCTCTTCAAGAACATGTGCCAACAAACATGTGGTGTTGGTCGCCCTCATGCATGTATAGACCATCCAAAAAGGGATGTCCAATGGAGATCGGCGACGTGTTGGACGAAGGATGTCGGACCTCCAAGAGCTTGTCCTCGGTGCCGCGGCACTGGTCGGTGCTGCGGCTCAGGAGGCCTTCGACCTGCTGGGATTCCCGGGCTCTGGGGATTGGTCCAGCTACATGGTCGAGGACGCATTGGGATGGGACGGGACGGAAGAGGGAGGAACGGGTTCTTCATGGGGAAGAAGCGAGTTCCGGGCGCGTGTTAGGAGGGGAGAGGAAGGGAGCCCTGGAAAGCGAGTGAAACAATGAAAAGCGGGTGAAGACAGTTGGGGGGTTCATGGGGGTTCTATCTATCCTATTTCGCTTCACCCACATTTGGCTCGAGACCTTCTAACTCCCTTTGTGGCCACAGAATAGACCGAAAACGCCATCCACCGCACACCCCACCAGCAACCAGGTGGATCCGTTGCTCTCCGTCGTGCTCCACTCGCCGTGCTGCGCAGCGCCCCTGCGGCTGAAGGAGATCTCGTTGGCCTATCGCCGGCAGTGCCTGCGGGGCCACCCCTCGCGGGGGGGATCCGCGAGGAACTACCTGAAGCTGCAGGCCGAAGCATTGGGAGCGGGAGGTGGGGAGCTTTAGAATGAGGAGATGTTATACTTGGTCATGCCCCCTGTAACTTGGACCGGAATTTCATGCATACCAAAAGCAGAAGAGAGCAGGTACTTGAGGCCTCGAAACCTCGAGCTGGCACCTCAAAGGTTGCTTTCAGAAGATGATTTAGTGGGTATCCCCCGACTGAAATATGTTTCGGGCTGCAATTCTCTTTCATTGGCACTAGGAGTTTTTCATGCAAAGGTTTACAGGTCCTTGCTGCACAAAGGGCCGCAAGATCCCAAACAAAAACACCCTGAGCAGCTGCAGCGGCATGTCCTAAACCGGCCGCAAACCACTTGTCACGCCCAACCAGCGGCCACTTTGCTGCAAAAACGTGGGCGTGGCCACCTGTTTTGGGGCGGAAAAAGCACCAAAAAAGCTATAGGGTTTCAAGTCCGCCCCCCCATGCACGGATTCTCTCACACGCTCGAGTCACGAGCACGTTCTGTGGCAGGCGAGTTTCGCGGGCCACAACACCAACATACGATCACGGGGAATCAAAATGTGGCAGACGGAGCGAGCCGAGCGAACGCGCCACATTTAACTGAGACAGCAAGTCGGCCAGAAAGAGCCACCCAGACACGAAAGCAGAACCGCCACACCGGTGGTCCGACGCAGTGGTCCGTTTGAGTCGCCTCAGTGGCAGGCGGCGATGGAGTTGATCCGCGCCTTTGGCCACGAGACCAGCGAGGAGGAGGCTCTTGGGAGCCAACCGCGGTGCCGGTTGGAGTGGACGCACACCGGTGAAACCGGTGTGAACCGGAAACCGGCGGTGTTTTTTTGTGGAGATTTGAGTGCTTTTTTCCCGGGTTGGAGCCAATGTTCTTGAAATCTATTTCAGCAATTGAAGGGATCTCGTTTTGGGCTTCTTGATCCCAAAACCACTGTTGCTTGTTCAATTCCCATATGACAAGCCTTGGATGTATGCCCTTCATTCATTGCTCAAGGACTCAAGGATAAGTATTTGAGACGAAGCGATGCCTTTTTCTTTTTGCCCTCTAAGCATGGGTTGAAAAGAAGACAATCGGCTTGGAGCATGCCCTCTTGAAGGCCAAGCTTGAAGACCGCGAAGTCAGATGACCAATTGGTCCATCAGTCCATCAGGTCAAAGGTGATCGTTTGATGGCAGCAAGGCTCTTCCAACGCAGGGCACTGCTGTGGGGGAAAACAGGGTGCAGGGATGTCCTGGGATGCCCTGTGGGTGAGGTTAGCCGAACTTTTATGACAAGAAGTGGAACTAACATGGCACATGGAAGCGGATGGGATGGCTCCTTAGAAGACCATTGAAATGCTCTACAAACAGTGGGTACCCTCCACCTAACCATCCACGCTACTTCCACCAAACAGACCACGACCCCCCAAACTTCAGACGAACCTGCTCCGCAGCGGCTCGCCTCGCCGACTCGCGCGAGGCCATGTCGCCCCGGAAGCGGACCTTCGTGCTGGACGACTTGGCGCCTCGGCTTCCGCGGGCCCTTCGGTGTCGGTAAGCCGGCAGGCGTCGGTCACACAACCACCGAGCTCGGTGCGTATAGGTGGTCGACGTCCGAGTCGGAGAGGTTTGGGGTGAAAACGGAAGAGCTGCCAAGGTTTCGACGTGTGGCTTTGGAGGGCCGCCTTTTGGTATAATCATTGGTTTGAACATATTGAAAAGATAGATCTTTTTGGAACATGATTTGGATGGTCGCATTGGGATGAAAGATGAAAGGAGGTCTACCAGCTAGGGGATAGGGTGTTGTTCCACTGTTGCTCCATGAATCCATACTTCTTCAGGAAGCTAAGCCAGACAAGGTCGACCTCCTTAGCCTCTGCCGCTGTGCCGTTTGTTCCACACGCTTGGGCCCCACAAAAGGGGCAGGACTGCAGGGCCATTCGAAGCAAGACCAAGTACATAAGATGTCTTCTCCTTTGAGGTATGCTTTCATGATCTTTCCACCATGTTCACCCTTCGGTCTAAACGATTCCTTTGCGTGTGGTTCTTTCGTTCGTAGCAGTGGCACGGTTGCATTTGAAGTGCAACTTAACACATGAGCTGTAGAAAAAAGAATCTGAGCATGTGTTGGCCCAAATCGCTGCCAATGGGATTCTTGGATAGCCTAACAGCCGCCAAGCCCACCCGCAGTGACCATCTTGCGATCGAGGTGTTCACCTGACACAACACTCCAGGGTGTTGTTGCAACCATTTTCCACGGATCCCCAAGGAAAAAGAC